TCGCAAACAGCTCAAATGACTCCCGATCCGCCTTCGCAGGAATACTCACATTCTCTCCACTTTGTATAGTGTGCTATTTAATCCTTCCACTCCTCATTATTTAAAAGACCGTTTCCAGTATCTTTCCCTTACCCATAATCGGTTTCTTCGATCCTCCGTCAATCTTTCTCTCTCTACTCCTTCGCACTCTTCCTCTTTTTTTAAGAAATCCTTTACTGTAACTGCTGTAATTTTTTTGGAACTCTTTACCTCTCCACATTCGTCGTGCTCAATCTCTTCATTCTTTCAAATGTCTTGTTAAATCGTATTACTTAGAACGCTATTAGATAAATCACTTTTCCTTTTTCGTACTCTTTTCATTTAATCTATTATATTATATCATACATAATCTTCACTTGCCTTTATTTGTATGTATTTTATATTTTTTTTTATTTTGTACGCCCCCCTCTATTTTTAACTATTGTTTACATCAGTTCTCTACACTAAGGTTGTCTGGAAGAAATCACTTTCAGAGTGATAAGACCACCTGTTGTACATTTTCTAATTTAGATTTAATTGTATTCGTTTTTGTTTTGTTTTTGGTGTACAATAAAGAGTAAATAAATAAATAAAATAAATAATAAAATGCTTAAAATATAATTTTCCTACTTTTTTGAATGCGATATTTTTTTTATTGGATATTATCTTTTAAATTCATAATTAAAAATTAAAAATTTGGTACAACCGACTTCAATATATATTATTAAAAATAACTCAAAAGATATTGGTCAGAACTTGATCAAATTTATATGGGACTATATGAGAAGCATCAGCTTACAAATAAAAAAGGATCATCGAAATCGGTTCACCCAGAAGAAAGTTATGAGGTAACACTCATAAAAAAATCATACAGTCGAATTGCGTACCTCCTCCTTTTTGAAGTCGGTAGAAAATGCGGGGTAGTGCATTATTTATTCCCTATTTCTCATAGTCCGATGGGACGGTAATCCCACAAAAATATAGAAAGATCACACGCAGAACCAACGGCTTTACGTGCTTTCTGAGGCACACGGATGAAGCAACGCTAAAATTACCGCTCCCAGAAACTACTAAGATTTTCTCGATAGCAATCCCACATGATTTTGGGCCCGGTCACACCTATTACTTAAAGGTCTGAAGACTTTCGTCGGTTGAGTTGAGTTTTATTTTTCATTTGCTTGCAAGAGGAGACATAGTATAGATACGTAATTTCATACATTTTGTTCGTGTAATTAGATACTTAATTTTAGATTGGATTGTAGTTTTCATTTCAAATATTTTTAAAATTAATGGCATTATGGTAAATCATACCATAACAGAAACAGAAACTTTTTTATTCAATATAGAAGATAGATTTACCTCTAGTCTGAAATAAACTTCTGATGCCAGCATGAAATCCAGCAAGTCTTTTTTTGAAAAAAAAAAATAACAGCTTACAATCTATACAAATAAAATGCTTTGTCCTGAATGACCGACTGACGGATCAACGCACAGCCTAAACCGTTGCTCTTAGAGACCTGAAACTTGGAGGGTCTGTTTTTTGTATGACATATACAAAAAATACACCCTCCAAACATCTTATAGTTGTCGAGCGACCCCTTGTGAAACCGCATTGATTTTTATGAAGTAAATTATTTATATTTAAGAAATTTAACATTTGATCTAGAATATTTTTTTCAAAAATCTTACTAAGTGTTGGTAGTACAGAAATAGATCTAAAATTGGCGGGGTCTAATGTACTACCAGGTTTTAAATAAAGGTATTACTTTACTATGCTTCATTAAATCTGGAAACACACCAGATTCGATACTAGTATTAAAAATAATAGCTAAATAAGGCGCGATTGTATCTATTATAGACGCAATAACTTTAACGGAAATCCCCCACAGAACCGCAGTTTTCTTAACATCAATAGTTTTAAAATATTTTACAATATCTTTTGATGATACTTTATGAAATATAAAATTCTCTGTACACGCATTTACATTATGTTTAAGTAATGATTCGGCGACCGCAGGAGAAGAATTCAGTGACTTAGTGGTTAATATCGGAATATCAGTAAAATATTTCTCAAAAACCATTGCAACGTCCTGATCTGATTCAGTTAATTTGTTGTTAACCCTTAACTTTTAGTTTGAATTGCGAGAGTTGATCTTAACAGTTTCGCTATTAATTATACTCTATGTCATTTTAATTTTATTAGAAGCCGTCTTAATTTTGTTGCTTAAATGCAAAGACTTGGCTGTAGAGCACACTCTTTTAAATATTTTTGAATATTTTTTACATATTCCCTAAATTCGACGCTATGATTATATGACCTTTCATGGTAAAGATCATATAACCTATGTCTGCTCTTATGGACTCCTACCGTAGGCCATTCATTGAATGACTTCCGACTGTTCAAGGAGAATGTTTTAGAAGTAAAAATACAATTAAATTCATTAAAAATAAGCTTAAATAATGTTCCTTACAAAAAATTAGGATCATTTTGGTATGAAAGTGATGGAAGTTTTTTCACTATGTTATTTTTAAATTTCTCCAAGCGACATGCATTTACTGGAACAAACACAACTTTCTCATCTACTTGCTTTTTGTGAACATAAGGTAACGATACTACTTGTCCACAGTGATCAGAAATTAATTTTTAATTTTACACAGAGTAGCCTGGTGATTCTAGCACCCGAAGTAAAGACGGTAGGTGTAGTATTTCGATTTCGTTGTAAAAAGATAATACCCTCGAGTTAATTTCGCCAGATTAAAAGTCAAACTTGGTGTTCATAAAATATATTTTTTTTATTTTCATATTTATTTAACATTGAAATACCTACACTATTATATGAAATTGTTATATTTTATAAGTAATCAAACATATAAACATAATAATTTATAGGTTATAACAAAATTAATAACGTAAAGAACCAATTAAAAATCCTTTTAGAACCATTTTCTTCCAAGCGGACGAAGCCGCGGGCAAAATCTAGTATTATCTTGGTAACGATCACCTCATTTTACAGGGGTTATTATGTTTTTATATGATAAGGGTGACAAACGAACACAGTCCACCTGATGGTAAGTGGTTGCTGCGGCAGATGCGTTGTTACCCGTGAGGACTAAGAACAGCAGCGTTAAATTGCTATTTTTACGCTGATATTCTGTGAGAGCGTGATCCTTCCCCGGTCGAGCCGATCCATTCGTGCTACAACTATATTACTAATATAGCTACAGCAAGGGTCTACCACGTAATATTATTATTACATTATCAGCCATAAATTACCTAATATTATAATAACCCTTTTTATACAAACTTTGTTTAATAAATTTTTTGAACTTTAACTTTTATAGGTAAAATTTATATATATAAAAGTTAAAGTTCAAAAAATTTACCAAGTGTTGGCTAGAGTGTTTACTAGCAAATTGTGGATAACGTTATTGCGGTCATTTTGTTGATTATTAACAATATTAAACAGAAGCGTATAGTTTTTCCCAATCTGTTCCTTGGTTCTTTTGTGGGCCCGTCTATTTGTTCGTTCGTTAGTTTCTTTGATTGAATGACTAACTGGATATCTTTATCAAGATTTGTGTTTTTCTAGATCTTCGCAACAATTAAAACTAAATAAATAGAAAAAAACATGCGTGAGTGTTGTGGAACACTCGGTTGGAATGAAGTTCCTTATTATTGATAGACGTATTATATTATTGATTAACAAATACAAATACATAAAATATATTATGAGCATCCATTAAAATGAAGCGTCATTTAAAATAAAATATACTATGACACAAGGGGTAGTGAGGAAAAAATCTTAAACTTTTTGTCGCTTAGCTCCCATCCGCCAATCCCGTACCTTCCGATAAGGAGCTTCGTTACAATAAAAAAATAAATCATCATCAATCTTTATTACAAAAGGACTAATTCCACGCGAATGAAGTCGCGGGCACAGCTAGTATTATATATTATTAGAGTTCAACGTTACTTCGCGTCACGTTGAGACAGGTCACTTTCATTAATTTTTTTTTCTATTAGTGTTAACAAGTAAAAAACGCCCATCGTGTCCGGCACCCTCTTGTGATCTTTTTCTTTTTTGAATTTTTTTAATTTGAATTTGAATTTTTGTAGTAAGGAGACGTCGGTCGAGACCCGAAACCAGCGTGGTAACGCCAAAATAAACGTAAGTACAACTGTGCGTGTTGTGGAGTCCACCATACACCTCTACATCTCCCGTTTGGACAATAGTAGGTCGGAAGAAGACGTCCTACGTTTCGTGGAAGAACAAAACCTTTGTCACATTGGGGACCCGATCTCTTTACATTTGCAGCGTCTGGAGTCTAATGGTCACCGAAATATAAATCTTACGTACACCAGGTTCCTGCAAACTGAAGAAAGGGAAGGGAACAAAGGGAATAAACTGACATTCCTTGCTCCCGATTTCTGGCCATCTGGGGTAGTATTTCGCTGATACAAGGACGCACCAAAGAAAGTTACCTAAATAGTGTTATGTATATGTTTAACACATCATTTTATTTTATAGAGCGAATGTTTGGGAAGTAATTTTTAAAAGCTTTTTTATAACAAAATTTATATGAATTATAATAGAACCACCCCATGCCCGAGGCTAATTTTCATCCATGTATTCTTTTATGTAATGGATTTCAGCAAAAAAAGAAAACGCCTGATTCTAATACTTATAATATAATTATAACGATACAATTATCATTTAATTCGGCGTGACTTTGTGGTGAAAAGAAATTTATAAATACAATTTCATGGAAATCATATGAATGGTTATTTAAGTGATACGATTAAAACAAAAGTTAATTAACGTGACGAATGGAAGGTCGTCACTGCCTTAAAAGTTATAGGTTACATTTAGCTATAGAGAAGGATACGTTGTATATATAAGTACATAATTATTTATGCATTAAATCATATAAAAGCGGAAGGCGTAAAAACTAGCTCATTACCGTGTTAGTAAGTAACGGAGATGTCTCAGTCGTGGCGCGTCGTGTTGCTCAGCTCCAGCGTCGCTGTAGTTGTATCAATTCTTCTTCTATTGGTAAGGCATATAAAAACTATTTCAAGTTTCCTTTCCTTTCTTTATTTCTTTTTTTTTAACTTTTACTTGTATCGTAGAAGCAATTTACATTACATAAGTCCACAAAGACAAACATCCAGACCCGGAACAATTATGTGTAGGCGATACAAATACTTGTTTCGTTCAGGATTCAACTCCGCGGTCCTCATCATTGCAACTCATTGCTAAGCTACTACGTCACTAAACCATCAAACGTCAAAAGTTTCTGTGTGGGTCCTCTAAAATCTCCCAAACAAGCCGGTTTCCGATAAGAATTAGTAACAAAGAGCACTCAATACTTAGTATTCTATACCTTATTGCATTCTAAATCACGTTATAAACAAAATCAAATGAACTTCGTTATAATCAGATACAAATAAATGTATTAATTATATTATTAAGATTTGACTAATTTAAATAGGGTTATTTTTCAAAGAGTAACCCAATTTTAAACTTAAGATCAAATATATAAATAATGATACACCGTTATTGAAGTTTTTGAAAATACGAATAAATAAGGCTTCAACTTTTATTTGAAACTAGCTGTTCCCCACGACTTTGCCCGCATGTAATTAAGGTTTTTTAATTATTTTTGGATGTAACCCTAATTCTTTTTCTGAAATTAAATTTGTCTAAGTTACTCCTTATAGCATGCGCTATCTGCCTGTGAAAATCCCGTCAAAATCGGTTCAGCCGTTTCGGAGATTAGCCGGAACAAACAGACAGACAGACAGACAAAAATTAAAAAAATTGTGTTTTTGTTATAAGTTCCCTATAAACTTTCATATGCTTTTAGTAAAAAGCTGTTATTTTGACTTTACAAATAGACACTTCAATTTTATTTATTTTCCCATTTTCATTTTTATTGATTATCCCAAAATGAGTTTGATTTATGGGCAACAACGTGCGCAATAAAATCGGTGTAAATAATGTATTACCAAGCATTTTGAATTAAAAGATAGAAAAGACAGAATTTTTGAAAATATTTTTTCATTAATTTTTCTTCACCATTTGTCTATATTACTTACTTTGAACCTTCTTTCTAAATTTGGCCGATTACGGCAAAATAACCCTGTACAATTTATTTTTAATTTCATTTCAAAATATCAAAATTTTTAATTGACATCCTAAACTAATACTGCATTTTATGTACTTATCTAGACACGCGGCATTGTGTCAGTCAACTTCGAAAAAGAAAATGGCAACGCACCGGCAGTGCACTATATTTACGTGAACAATTTTGAGCTATTCGATCACATCATAACTCAAAACCTTTTAGACCTATAATTTTATATAAAATATCTTAATTTAATCTAAACAAACATATTTCTAAATAAAATGTAATAATAATTATTTTATGGAATTCACAAATCTTCAATTTACGCAATATTTAGTTTGTACGGATTGCAGTACAGTTCAGTTGAACATAGTCAATGTTCGGAAAGGCTTCTCTAGTATGTAGTACATATAACTGAATGGTAGCAAAATGCGTCGACAAAGTTAGTTAAAGTGAGGCTAGTTACGATTTGCAAGTAACTGCACCAAAACTATTTCGATATTAAAATAGAAAACAGTTAAGCGTCAACGCAAGAAAAAATATTTACGGTCAGTTATATATATAGATTAATAAGAGGATAAAACTTTTTTCAATGAATAATAACATCTCACCGAAAACATAAATGTGAGAAGGGAGCCAAGTTCGGTGACATCTCCGATGTAAAAGTTGCGAACTAAAAGGGCGCCAAGTTAAGCAATTTTTATTAATGTGCTGTGGCTATTTTTTAAATATAAAATTATTGACTTTTTCTATGTGTATAATATATGACATACTTTTATCGTAACTTGAATATGTGTATCGTCATCATCATCATCATCATTACAGCCTTTAATAAGTCCACTGCAGAACATAGGCCTCCCGCAAGGAATATGTGTATGATATAATATAATTTGATTGTTATAAATATTTTGTTATTATTTTATTAGTATTTTATTTTACTTTTTATTATTAAATAAATTATTATCAAAAATTTTAAATATTTACTCGAATATTTATTTTCATATTACAGGTAATATCATTGTATGGAATATTATTATTGTATTATTGTATTGTAATTTATGATTATATGTAATATTGTGTTATATTCTCGCCATTGGTGTTAATACCGTACCCTCTCCAAAGCATTAGCTTTAAAACGTGTTTAAATGCAGCAGTGAAGTCGTCTGTTCTTAGTCTTCGAAGAATTTCAAGTGACCTTTCTACTGACTTTCTTAAGCTCTGTAATTCTATCCTCGCTTGGGGCCTTGCTGTTATTATGGTGCTGGAGGGTCATTCTAATCTTCTTCTGACTGACATCCGAGCATGACAACTGAATAGTATCGGATAAGATTTGCTCTTGAATCGATACTCACTCTTGCCTGTAGATTCAACAGCGATTTGTACAACTGTCCGTAGAATCTTAAAGTAAATAACTAAATAAAAGTTTTTATTCATAAACACGGTCTTACAAATATATATACAAAAAAGAGCTTAAAATTATTTACTTAAGATCCATGTAACAAATAAAAATGATGTAGTTAAACAGGGCCACAGGTTACTTACCGTCAGGTTAAGGGTCAGGTCAGGCCAGGTAAGTCTGTTATTACAAAAGTACTTCCATATATCTTTTAAACTCTGATATTTAGTAAACCTGCAATAAATAAATAAATAAACCAAATGGAACAGACAATATGAGGAACAGAACTACTTTGTAAGAAAGTATCTGCCGCCCTCCCTCAATTGCGTGCACTATTTCCAAACTTAATTGAATGCACTATTTTTTAAACTAACACCACTACTCCCAACACTACTGCACTAGGAAAGACATACCACCGTCGATTGTACGATACGTATTTCGCCTCTAAACGAGGCGTCATCAGGAGAAGTAGAGTCTGCGATGGTTAAACGCTAAGATTTTTTTAAAGAATAAGGTTGACAAACGAGCTCACTATCCATCCGATGTTAAGTGGATGCTGTGACTTATAGATATCTACATCTATCCTCGATTAGTATCAAAATGCAGATGCGTTCCTAAGAACTAAGATGAAATGCCTAGTTTTCAGTAAAAAAATCTCCAGTTCTCCACACTCACGGATTACAACTTTTCTATCTCTACTTCCAGCTCCAGGATCTTCTGTTCAGTCCTTAGTTTGTACGTGTTAAATATTACCAGGGCGAGTATGATTTAATGATGAGAAGATGACACTGAAACTCCGCCGGAGATTTCTCGAACCTAGCAAACCCTGCCCCACCGTTACCATCATCGCCAAAGTAGCCACGAATAGCGGAGCCGTTTCTTTATGTCCTTTATTTGTTCATGAGGGATGTTTACCATATTGCCAAGCTGGGTATGCGGGTTGGCAACCACATTTTTTTATTTTCTAGTTATTAGGACGACGCTGTGGCTTATCTCTTCGTTTGTTCCCTCTGTCATTTACAACAGCCACGGAACGGTATGAATTACTGGATATTCTTACAACACCATTGCATTGTCATTGTAGTGTGGATGTTTTTCCATGTGCAAAACGTCTCCTCGTCACAGTAATTCTAAGTATTGAGGTAACGTTTTTGAAGGCTGCGACTTATTTGTTCGAAATACATTTTGCTATTTGTTATTTTGCATATTTTTATTTTATAATGCTTACTGCATATAACTGACATGGAAAATAACAAATGGTTGGTAAAATTTTATTTGATCTTCGATTTATTTCGTATAACATTTAGTAACTATACCCACATTTGATATATCGAACAACTGAAATAATATGTTTCTATATGCATATAAAGAGATATTAATCAAATAATATTATTTTCTTGTACATACTCCTAGCTAGATAGAAAATTCATATTTATATAGGTGCGACAACAATCAAATGGAGGAGCTTTTTTTTTATAGTATAGGGGGCAAACGAGCATGCGGCTCACCTGATGGTAAGTGACTACCGCCGCCCATGAACCGCAAACCGCAACACCAGGGGAATCGCAGATGTGTTGCCGTTGTAAGCTCTTTTCTTGAAGGTTCCTAAGTCGTATCGGTCCGGAAAATTCGCTGGTGATAATTGATTCCACAAAGAAGTTGTGCGAGGGAGAAAACTTCTTCTAAATCGCACAGTGGTGGACCGCCAATCATCCAGATGGTATGGATGGTAACGCGAGTTTTGTCGCGATGTGCGATGGTGAAATTGAGCGGCTAGAATTAGTCCGAACAATTCCTCAGAGCACTCCCCGTAATATATGCGCAGTGCCAGTGTATCGAGCCGATCAGAAAGAACTCGGTCGTCGACGATTCGAATCGCTCTGCGCTGGATGCGGTCAAGTGGAAGGAGCTGGCACTGGGGTGACCCGGCCCAGAGATGAGAACAGTATTCCATGTGGGGCCGAACTTGCGCTTTGTAAAGTTGCAAGCGATGTGCCGGCATGAAATACTGTTTCGCTCTGTTGAGCACGCCAAGCTTTTTAGAGGCCAATTTGGCCTTCCCTTCCAAGTGACCACGAAACTGCACGCTATTCGATATGTCGACGCCAAGGATTCCGATACTGGCTGATGCAGCAAGGGGAGTGCGTTGAAACTGAGAAAATATGACAAAAGGGTTCTTTTTAGCGGTAAATGCGCAAACTTGTGCCTTCTGGGGATTGAACTGGACTAGATTTAGTCGGCCCCAATCCGAGACTTTGTTAAGCAAAGACTCGACTTCAGACACAAGTTTGTCTTGGTACTCGGCGACGTTTTCCCGAGAAAAAGCTTTAGGTTACTGGTGAGTGAGCACAATTTTCATTTGCATATCTTAGTATCCTGTAACTAGGTCAGGTAAAAGTATGTTTTAATATTTAATATTTTTCTCAAAATCGAAAAAACATGCGTATATCTAGAAATTTATTTCCTAATACTCGTAATATAATTTGCGGAGCATAAACACGCTTTCAAAGTTTTCCTTCCATCTCTTTAAATTCGAAACTTCATCATTCAGCATACAGGCATTCTCGTTTCATATAGTATTCGTTCTAGGCTGTTTTGAATTTCCTCTGGCAGTTCTTACGAGCTTCCAGAACATTTTAATATTTGCCTGGATATCAAATATCTTTTTTTTTGTGCCGTGTATATGAGTGAATGATATTATTCTGAAAATATGGTTTAAATTGTGTTTATACGTTTATAATATCAAACGTCAAATGAAAGTTTTAGGTCGAATAATTTATAAGCTGACTGAATATAAATGTGATACTCGTACAATTGAATCATATTATTCAAGCAACCGTAATTTTTCATTTGTATATGTTGCATTTTATTATGTGAAATAAATTTGATCTGAGAGTTGACAGAATCGGCCCTTTACAATACAACAATTAATAATACAATAAAAGTATCTCAATTGTAGATATTTATACAATCTAAGAATATACATACATAAGAAAGCTTATGTATACTTTAAAAATACAACAAAGAGTATATAATCACTACGTTTTGACATTGACGAATATAAATTACGTAAAACACATTTATAAATTTAGTTCAGGTTTCGTAAACATAATTTTTAGTATTGAAGTTGCACCAGCCTGGTCTACAATACAAATATTTCGTAATTCGAACATTTATTACTTACCTGTTTCAGAGTGCTAGCAGTGGCGACGCGAGCCCAGTGTTTGGTTTGATCGATGCCTTTAAACCCAAGTAAGTATTCATATTAGAATTAGAGAAATGATTGAAACAATTATATATTTTTTTATTTAAATACTTTTTGTTCTGCATATTAAAATTTACAGCCAGTATTAAACTTCCCACGGTTGGGCACATACCTCCTTTTATTTCTGAGAGGCTTTTGCGGCAAAGAAGTTTCTTTTATTTCACTACTTGTTTTCTCCTTTATGCTCTTCTATATGTGCAGTTCTATAGTTTCAAAGCTGAAATTAATTTATCTATACGGTAGAGTAACGGTGTGTTTATTGACTAATATCATGAGAATCGGTCGAGCCAGTTTCGAGTTTTAGCGAGACTAACGGAGAACAATTGATTTCTATATATCGAGATATAATTATATGCATGTAGGCTTAGATGTTGTTTATATTTTCTAATAACTTGCGTCCGTACCCATTCTCTCAGGTCATTATATCCTCTGCTATTTGGTTGCCTGGTATATCGCTGAGCTATCGGTAAGCGATAAGGCCACCAGTTGTACCTTCATACATAATTTGTTATTTTTTCTCTCGTTCATTAATATATAATAAAGTATATTTTATTCAGTCATTTAAGTGTTGTGTCAGTCTTTAATACATGTTGGCGAACTCCACATGGCTTAAAATATTTATTTTTAATTTTATTTCTCAGACATACAGATCACGTGGTAAATCCAAGAGCCCTACAAGAGCCTTACTACCCCAGGGCAAAGCGTTTGTAATTTGACAGTATGGATATACATAGTTGATCTCCGTTTACTCCAATGAAATTGTAAAATGCAATTTAAAGTGCTGATTTACGAGTAGCACGTTCTCGGCGGTGAAGTAAAACATCGTGAGGAAACCTGCGATTTTTCGATGATATATGAAGTGCACCAAACGCACGAGAGCAGCGCGACAAATCGGCATAACCTTATTGTGGCTCTACTCTTTAAAAATCCATCTCATATACAAGACATTAATCTGCCGTTCTGTTACATTTTGTTAAGGTATACTACTATACAATCGATATTGGAATGGAATACGATATACGAGATCCATAACAGAGAAAGTCATGTACCTTACCGTTACGCCATATTAAAGTCCGTTGCTGAACATGCCTCAGGCCTCTACACGGTTCACAACCGCACTTAATTTTTATTTTTAGTCGTTATCAGGAAGGTGCTTCTGCCCATCTCCTGATTTTTTTCCCTCTGTCACCTCTTACAACACCCACGGGATGATATGGGGTAGTGAATATTCTTACACCGTCCATACGCGGTATTATGAAGTGTAATAACTAAAATGAATATTTTACCTTGTTAATAGGGACGCTTATAATGGCACATCGCTAGTGGGATCCCTCGCGTTAAAACATATCGAAAACTCCAAGGAGAGGCTCAACAAGTTTAAAGAAATGGCTGACCGCATCGCTAACGCCAGCGAGACAGGTACTAAGCTATTTTAATACAATATACATATAAATTGGTGTTGCCTCAACTGTTCGCGCCAAACACTTTCAAGGAACGAACGCGAGAGGGCGTGCGGCTCAGTGTCATACCGGTTTGACATTCGGTCGTGCGTAAAACGCTCAAGGGCAGTCGTCCATAAGCGGTGCTAACGATTGGCACGCTGTATTCTGTTAGGGAACTCGGAATAATTCGGCGCGGCCAGTAAATATACGGTCTGCATAAGTGTGACGCGCATTCCTACTGGAGAGCTTCCCGGGACTTATTGTGTCTGACTCAGAACCTGCATAAGTGCATTCGGCAATATTAGATAGTGCGGCCTCTGATATTCTAGAATTAACTATTGCTACGCGAAACGGTAGTGACCTTTGACCCTTTAAACTCCGTGTGCGTTTGTGCGGTAACCATTATACCCAGCGATAGTTAGTGGCTTCTGTAAGTTAGTAAATCGTACGATAGAGTTAATTGACTGTCAACGTGACGAAAGAAGAAAGTGACTGTGGACAACCTCGAAAGGCGCCCTCAAGTTGGAGCGGTGTCGACGCTCGGGCTGCTGCCGACGGCCAAGGTCTAGGTTCAATCACCATCAGTCACACCCAGATACACACCACATCACCATTCTTTCCCTTGCACTACACAACCACATGCGACCTGACCGACTCCGGAGGGACCAGTCGCCTTGGATAGGTAAGTAAGCTTCATCCAAATTCCTTCCGGTCGACTGGCCGTAGTATAACGCTCCCCCATATATTTTAGTGTAATTGGAGAGATTCCACGTGGCCACATTGGGGCCCGACCTACGTCTGTTCGGGAAATCTTCAGCTCATGGGCCCCTGAGGATTGGATCCTTCAAGGGAGCAGCCGTTCGCCGTAACATCAACTGTAATAATTATAATGTCCTCCAGACCGAATTTCGGTCACGGCGGCGAGCCTCAAAGGAGACTGCCATCTGCGCATGACAGGATTATAGTATACGAGTGAATGAGCAAGTTCAGATGCACACTCTATTCGCTATCTCTCATAATCCAATGTGCTTGGAAAAACTTCTGACATTTCTTGACAGAAAACTCAATAAGTGATATATTTTACTGTAGTGTTTAAAAAAAACACAATTGACTTAGAATTTTTTTCGCTATTGTTTTAGAGAGAAGAAAAGAAAATAAAAGACTAAATACGAAATTTAACTTTGAATACAGCAGCCTGGACTCAAGCTACTTTAACTATAAAATTTTGTGTTATTGGTGTGAGAAATCTGTCTAGCGTTGCATTGCCTGCTTTCCTTGTTTCCGTGCATAGTGTCAGTGACTTATGTAACATATTTTTAAATAATAAAGTAGACCTGTGCTTTGCTACGGAGGCAAGGCTGATATGGCGAACGCTCTGTCCCGGTGAAAATATTCCACTGGAAGTTAACCAACAATGGGATATTTCGTTGGTACAGAGCGTGCAGAAAGATTTGTTTCATAATTTCTATAGTGACCAAGATAAGTCACGCCTTCTAGTTGTTTATACTAAGGTATCTAGTCACTGGTTACACGCTTTACCATTAAGTAAACTCGGCACATTACTTAACGGGGAAAGCTTGGCGCATCGCCGTACGAATCCGACTAGGAGCGGCGATTTGTCAACCCCATCAGTGCCCCTGTGGTAGCAGCGTCGACAAGTTTGAGCTCCACGGACTTTCTTGTAAGAAAAGTGCTGGTAGGTTTTCACGACACGGTTTATTGAACGATGTCATCCGAAGGGCTCTTATCTCTATAAATGTTCCCTCGGTTTTAGAGCCTTGTGGAATATTTAGAGACGATGGCAAGAGACCCAACGATATGAAATTGGTCCCTTGGGATCTCTCCACTAAGTAGCATCAAAGTAACATCCCACACTAGGGCTTTACCTCTCGGTAAAGCCCTAGTGTGGGATGCTACTTGCGTAGACACGCTGGTGGCCTCTCATCTCAGGGGTACCTCGTTTAGAGCCGAGGTGGCGTCAGAGGCAAATATGAGTAAGTGACGCAAATATGAGTCTCTAAGAGATGACTACATATTTGTACCATTTGCTGTAGAGACTATCAGACCGTGGAGTCTACGTGCGGTGAAGTTCCTAAAGGAACTCCATCCGCGGCTGGTCGTTGCTGCTAGTGATAAAAGGGCTGGTTCTTTTCTCGCTCAAAAGCTAAGTATAGTCATTCAGCGGGGAAACAACCACTTACCATGAGATGGACTGTGTGCTCATTTGTCACCCTTATACTATAAAAAAAGAAGTTGTTTAAAGATACAAACACTGGCTCGCTTTTCTGTGGTAAAAATTTTATCTCTACATAGTATAAAACAAAGGCGCTTCCCACCGTCTGTACGCTTAGTTCTTTTAAGCTACACTACGGATTCAATTAAATTTTCATCAAGTAGAAAAATGATTCAAGGGAAAGGTTCATATTATGTATAATATATGCATATTATACAATAAAGTTGAGAAGCTTAGATTCACAATTGGACCCGTTAGGAGGAATTGTTGTCGAGATGCAGCAATCAATGACGATCCAAAGAAGAAAATTACCTAAATAGTTTTATGTCTATGTTTTATATATATTTTAGTAAGGTTTTAAAGTTTAAGGTATTTAATGTTATGGGCCAATGTTCTTAATTTTTAAGTCCTTGATGCCTGAAATAAAGTTATTGTACATTATTGTATGGTACAAAGGGGCATTCTATTCCTGTACGGCGAGTGGTAGAAACCACAGCAGCATTTTTTTTTATATAAAAGTAAGATTGATTAACTAAATTAAAGTTACAATGATCATCATCATCATCATTACAGCCCTTCACAAGTTTACTGCTGAACATAGGCAAACTTACGATGACAAACGCTAATTTAAAGTCAATGTTCTAGATTTAAGTTGTATTATTCTTGAACTCCGATTATCTGATATGTAATAATTTCTTCATTTCCAGCTATACTCAGAGGCTAACAGCATGTACCAGATTTTCTCTTCCTTCAGATAAAAGCATTCCAACCGATGGATTAGACCAACATTTATGTTGAAATAAATAAGCTTAAAATTTTAAATATATTTATTTTTTATTACTATCCTTTACATTGATCCTTTTGATATTATTGAGGATGTCCAAACAGTCAATATTTTATTAAAATAATTTTCTTTCTTTAGTTGAATGCCAATTCTATGTTAAGAGATAGGTATTCAAATAAATTTTGCATGTTACACTTCGTGCAATGAATATTCCTGCAATGATGGCAAAAGAAGGAAAATCTTACAATTTTTTACAACACCTATGAAAGATATATTTTAATATTTCATTCGATTAAGTCTAAAAGAATTTAAAAATTTAGTGAACATATTTGATAAATAACCTACTATTGGGAATAAGGGAATGAGAATAAAAGAAGAATACGAACAAGTGAGGGAAAAACGTAAATTCAATTCAATTCAATTCAAATTAAATTTTTTTTATTTCAGATAACATAAGATTCATATCATTTAAATACATTGATTGGTTGATAATAAAAATAATAATATGACATTAAAATACAATTAAAATTCATTAGAATCAAAATACAATAAACATTAACATATAATTATTAATAGTACCTTTTCGCTCCCACAATTACTGGGATATGTCTGTCGCAGCAATGCCGGAGGAGAGGACAGTCCAATCTGTCACCTATCATTTTCAGGATAATATTGGAGCTGGCCCGTACTCTGCGCACCAGTAACGCATACCGCTTACGCATGGTCGCATGAAAGCAGGCAGTGCGCGCCTCCGCAAACATGCCAGAGGCACTGCAGAAGCGGGGCATCCCCAAGATCACGCTGCAAGCGTTCTTGTACAGGATGCGGAGATCATTGTAACTTCGCTTATAATAGTCTGCCCATAGGCTGGATGTATACAGTGATGTACAATAAGCTCTAAATAGTATATAATTTTTACCTCCTGTGAGCATCGCGCAAATCTGCGGGCTATCATGTTATCTCAAATGGACAACGCTCTCCGCTCCCTCTCAATGTTTGCATTATCTTTGAGGTCATTAGTCGTAGTCGTGTTAACTCCCTCGTTACAACTATATACAGTACAGCGCAGGCAGCTAACCTTTGCGTTACTCTAGAAACACGTTGACTATGTGGTCCTTAGGCTCCACCGCCTGGCAGACTCGTCCCACTTAAAAGCAGTGTATTTGTGTAAGTGTGTGTGTGAGTCCTGTACAGATAATTAAAATGAAATTAATTGTTTTTAAGTGCAATGTATTTCGCAACTTAGTTTTAACAACATTTATTAATCTGAACACACGTTCGATGTCAGCATTTGAATGCGGTATACTCATTACTTTTTGTGGCTTTGTGTGGTGTGTGAAAATTGTGTCTTTAAACACTTACTGGGACCAACTACATGTTTCCTTCTTTTGTCATTATTGGATGACTCATATTGTATAATTAATGATTAAACGAACTTACTTTTAGTGAAGTTCTATTACAATTAAACGAGGTGCTTCGTCCGAAGAGATTAGTAACTGGAACTTATTAAACACATGTATCACGTCTAGAATTCACCACTCGCACTATATATCTAGAATCTAAACATTTAAAACCCCCTCCTTTCCTCATCTTTTTCCGGTCACGGGAGTGGGGAGAACCCCACTCCGTGTACCATCCATATATTGTGCCCTCGATATGTCATTAAGTTTAGAACTGAAAACAAAAATTTTGATATTTCCTGGATAATTGTGTACCAGAAGGGCAAGTAGGAGTGAGTTACTAATCTCTTCGGACGAAGCATCTCGTTTAATTATTATAGAACTGCACTGTTGTTGTTCATTTGCTTTTTTTTTTTCATTTTTTTTTCATGTTCATTTAATCATTAACTGTACTTCGTGCTTCGTCCTCTAGATAAGTGACTGGAACTTATTAAGCACAACATTTAGATATTGAGAGCAAGAATAGGAAATATCAAAATCTATACAAGGAAGGTAAAACTATTCTGTATTTACTGGCCATTAAAGATGTTATAAATACATGCTCGGTATTATTTCTACTATCTATTACAAATTTATTAGCTCACTATTGTATAGGCATAATACAAAGAAGGAAAATTTTAAGCAAAATTAAGCTTTGTTTACCCTGAAAATCAATTGAGTTAACACAAACAATTAAAAAATATTTTTGTAAGAAACAATTTTTATGAATAATAAAGATATCAATATAACCTTCACATACAAGGAGGTGGTCATTTTAGAAATTTGACAGGTGTGAAAGACTTATTTGACAATTAACATTTGAAATTTTGCGTGAACCCCACACATAAAACGTATGCTTATGTAAACGTTTTGAATTAATCTATCTGATTACAAAGTCAAAATGTAATATTTTCGCCACAAAATAACTTTTTTCTAATGTGAGATAAAAGTACCATTACGAATAGCCATACAAGAGGAAAAATATTACGTAATCATTAAATAACAATGTACCCAAAATTGTCATATTTTATAAGTGACTAGCACTATGACCCGGCCCCGCACGGGTGACATCTGTATTCCAGAACAGCGCTTTCTACCGGGTCTAAATATGCCTATAACCTTCGGGCAAATGCAAGTAACAAGTTGACAAAGTTTCAGCGCAACCTGATGATTGGTATGGCAGCGAATAAAATACGAACAAACAAACATTAATTTTTATTATAAAATCTGTTAAAGTTGTCAATGCACTAGTCCATTCGGCCATATTACTAATCAGCGTTCACCCTGGTTATACTCCGGCGTGTTGCATACTATGTGCCGTAAACCTCTCGGTCCTCTAGAAACGGCGGGAGCTTTCCACTATTTGCTCTAAAGAGGGATTCTGATTCCTGGATTCTCAGGTCCAGAGGAAGCAGACCGGCGATCGCTAGCACCGAGTGTAGAGACACGGTACTGTATGCTTTAATAATTTTCTGAGCGAATCCTCTTTACACGGTATTGAGAAGCCTACGGACTCCCAGTTTGCTGACGGCTGGCGCCCACGCACTCGCTGCATACAAGACAAACGGTTCAGAAACCGCCACGTATATCGTCCTTATGATTTCGGGTTGAAGGCCCCAACTGATTTTGGCAGCTCTTGATAATTGTGCGTAAAGAGCTGTGGCCTCCCTGCACACATTTTTTACGTGGCTTTTAAATGTGAGCTTTCTGTTAACGCTGAGACCAAGCACTTTGATCTCCTCCAACATGCCAATGTCTATCCTGCCCATGCTCAAACGTGGTGAATCGTATTTTAACTTATTAGTAATTAACATAGTCTTGGTGTTGTGTGGCGCAAAGTTCAGTTTATTACGAATTCCCCGCCTTCAGAGCGGCATTTGCACGCCTCCAGAGGCTTGAGACTTGTACGGTAACGGTACTTGAGATCCAGATCTCAAGTACCGTGTCTCCCGCAAACAGAAGGATGTTATCGTCGGCGAAAGCCTGACACCGTTCGCCTCTTGCTTCCAACTCCTGGAGCAGAGGATCAAGAAGCAAATTTTAACTTAAAATTTTTAACAGTGGTAGAGCCACGCGGCAGCTTTTGCTGTCGCACGGATGGTGAAGTAGAGGTTTACATCTGCGTTTCGCTTGGTGAGTGCAGGTGGCCGGAGGCCCTTTTAACTGGAAATGAGGCATTCCATCTTAGTCCTCACGGGTGACTACGCATCTACATTTTGATTTGTAATAGATAGATGTAGATGTCTATGGGCCGCAGCAACCACTTACCATCAGGTGGACTGTGTGCTCGTTTGTCACTCTTATCCTATAAAAAATAAATCCACAATACCCGTCCCCCTATGGACACACCCCTTTGAAGTGTCCTGATTGTGCTCTACACCAACGTACTAACTTTTCTATCCTGGAGATAACCATCCATCAACTTTCTTATATTAATAGGATATTTTTCCTCAGCCAATCGGTAATAATTTTTTTTATTTTGTATTTGTGTTCTTATATATTCCATCATGTCATCTTCGGTCAATGGTGCTCTGACTGTGTTAGTCAAAAGGCAAGGCGTAGTGAAGAGTGCACGCCTTGCAATACATAACGCAGTGTTGGTACCAACTTTGTTATACGGCAGCTAAACCTGGGTATGCCTGAAGCAGCATAAAAGCAAGTTGAATGCAGTGGAGATGCGATCTCTTCGTAAAATGTGCGGCGTTACCATGGCCGACCGAAAGCGAAACGAAGAGATTTGCAATATGGCAGGTTTGAAAGATGACCTTATCACGAAAATTGATAAGGGCGTGCTTCGGTGGTTTGGGCACGTTGAGTGAATGAGTGAAGACCGAATGGTGAAGAAAATATATAGCGCGAACGTTAATAGGTGTCGAGGTAGACCGAGACTAACTTTCGAAGACCATGTGATCAAATTGCTCGAAGAGGGTAGGGTCAAGAGTACTCAGATACCTAGACGTGCATGTATGAAGAAGATAATGAATCTGAAAGAAGCGAAAGAAGTATGTAAGGATCGTGACACTTGGCGATCTGTTCTCTCTGGCTACCCCGTCAGGGATTGTGCGTGAAGATAAGTAAGTAAGTATGTCATATACGGTACTTTTCTGTGGCGCGAAGCCGTATTGGAGCGTTGCGACCCCCCTGGTTGATGCCACGTTATCCTTCTGATAGTCATTTTCTCCAGGATTTTACCGATAACCAATAGCAAACCTATCGGTCTATAAGCTTTGCGGTGCGTATAGTGTTCTTTCCCTAATTTTCTAAAAACCACTATTACCGCCTTTTCCACTGTGGCGGATGGAAGGAAAAGGGGAGATCTCCCACCGGGCAAGGTGTTCTGCCCGGGGAGCGGCCAACGCTCCAAGTGGTAGTTCAGAGCTATTCTATATATGCTGCTTTAACTTCGGAACTTTGTTAGCGCAATTTAGGCTTCGATGTGTTTCGCTTGTGACGTGACGACAGCGCCGCCACATCACCCCGCTGCTCAGACTGGAGGTCGAT